AGAGAGAGAGAGAGAGAGAGAGAGAGAGAGAGAGAGTGTGAGAGAGAAAGAAAGAGAGAAATCAAATTACTCCAACAGTAACTCAATAATTCATATTGTATGTTAAATTTTAATGATTAAATTATTAAATTAAATATTTTTAATGCATAGATTAGGTCTATAATTTTTTTAAAAATTTTCAAATTATTTAATAATTTCTTTTATTAATTTAAATTAACAAATAAGGCATTTTATATTAAACTTATATAACAAAATAATATATTAAAACAAGAGAAAGGGAATGTGATTTCTAAATAATTAAGAGGGGAGATCTAGAAGGAAAATAATATGGTGCAAGCATCTCTTAAAAAATAAGAGAGTATACTCTAATTTTATGAAATGAAGGCCAAACATACATAACTTGAATTTGATTTAAAGACTAATTAAATTTCTACTTTCTATTTTATTATTTAATGTGTCACTATATATTATTACTCATATATCTTATTATTTTTATTTTATATATATTAAAAATAAATTTATCGGGATATAATTAATTACAATTGTATATATATGCACATATATTTGAAAAACATTAATATTATTGTACGTAATTTAGCCATTTTGTTTTCATACAGGTAGAGTTTTATCAGGTGAAACGCTGCAGACTTTTTTTTTTTTTTTTCCTTCTTATTCCTTAATTTGACATGGAAAGGAACGTCCAACCAAATCTCATAACCATTAGCATTGCATGAATGTGTTAAATATTTATATTCACAAAACAATGTTTTGCTTTTATTTTTTATATTAATTTAGAATATATAATTTGGAAAGTTTAAGCCTTATTTTTCTCAACTTTTTAATTAGATATTTTATTATTCTCTCTTTTCTCTTGTTTTGAATGTATATTTCACACTACTCCCAACTAGCTGGGGAAAAAAATCCCTCTCAACTTATCATCATTTTATCTTTATCTTTATTTTAAAACTAAATTTTAATTTTTAAAAATATAGTTAAAAAAAGGCTTATATCACAATTTATATAAACTATTCATTATAAATCTTAAATATAATTTATATATTTTAATATATTAATTATAAATTTTAAAAACATAAAAAAAAATTATCTAATAATCCATGAAAATTAGTTTGTCAGAAATAGTAAAAACGAAATCGCAAGGAAGCCAAGGATGATGATCGGTGTGAATGGCTTCAATAGGTTCTTTTCCTTTGAACTAACCTTAAAAACCCACGGGAAAGGTACACATCCAAGGGGACACATCAACCATGTGGCTATTGCACCCTATTATTGATTGTGCTTTAAGGGCAACCCAACCAGTGCCTTATTCCTTCCACGTAAAGCACAATTTGTCTCTCCTTATCGTTCATGCAGTTCAAATCACATACTAATACAGTTAGACCTATTTGGCGCCTAAATTTGCATGAGCCAATTGAAACATCGTCTCTTACTGCCATATTTTCTCTAAGCATCCCTATGTGTGTCCTATTCCTTACAAATTGTCACCGGCCCCATCTCATCACGGTCCAAATCACATTACTGGCATATAAATTTAACATGTTCGATGCTGCTAGTGCAAGCACCAACAACTATACAGCATGGGTCATGAAGGAGAGAGCATCAAGGCAGATATCCTAGGTTGAGTGATTACATTCTATTCTAATCAATTTCGTTATTTTCATTCCTTAAACTTTTGCTGACAAATTGATTAGCGGGTTTTGCTTATGCAGATTTATCAGAGAATTTCCAAGATTTTGAGATTGACAGCAATACTTGGCTCAGTTCAACGATGGACTCACAAAAAGTTTAACTTCTCTCTAGTTTCAAAAGTTACACATCATCATGAATTATGTTACTATATTCAAATATAAGTTTAGAAGAGTTTTTTTAAGAATTTTTCTATTAAAAATAAATATATAAAAAATCCATTTGAAAATCTCTCAACTTTTGCACGGTTTTCTTATTATTCCATCGTTGATATGAACCACAGGTGAAAATTGAAAACCACAAAAGGGAGTGCCATTACGTGCAGAAAAATTGTAACATCATTGGAGTTCCTATTTCGGAAGAGGAGTTGAAGATACGAAGTGAGCTCGGAATGGAGATTGAAAGGGACTTAGAAGAAGAGATCAAGGAGAGTATATACCACCTTGCTCTCCGGTTGCACCGGATTTACCAGCAGAGGAAGGAAAGAAGTGCAAAAGAAGCATCAAAACTTGGCAATAACCGAGGTAGAGCACTTTCTGAAGTGAACATATGCATAAGAATGGAAGGGGCAACTAAAGTTGAAATTAGAGAGGTTAACAAAGAAGGAGCTGAAAAGGGTTGTTCTTATTATCCACAGAAATATAGACCTCAAAATGTGAAGAAAGTGAAGGAGGTTGATTGGGTGAGGACCCTAAGAGCAGGTTCTAGCCCTGTTTGTGGTAGCAGATCATCATCATGTGTGAGCTCAAAGCAGAAGGAGAAAAAGCTAAGCACTGACCCTAATGGTTTCTCCAACAGGAAAATTCATGGTGGGAGGGGAAGAAAGAGTGCAGGTTCCTCAGGGCTTGTAGTGAAACGGAATGCAAGTGTGGACAAGAAGATACTTCGTTTGGGGTGGAAGGTTTGAATTGAAGGTCTTGCTTTGATTCGTGAATTTTATTTTGCTTTATTTGCATAAATATATAATAGTATAGTTTGGGACGATTTTCCTTAATATTTATAATAAATATTTATTTTTTCTTTGATTGGACTAATTTAATGGCGAAGAGAGTGGTTTGAAGACTTGAAAGTTGTTGTAAAGAAATAAAGTATCAAATTGATGTGATGTCTATAATTCTACATATTAATTGAACTTAAATTGGATTAATTTCTCCTCTCCCTCGTTTTCCTTTGTTTAATTTCACCCAATTACCCAGCTAAAATGGATCAATGTCATGGATAATAACAGAGGTTAAAATAATTGAGTCGGTCGTTTGGATAGATTCAAATTTGTTATTGTGGGAAAAAAAATAGAGGATAAAATTAGCTAGTCATGTCACATAAGAAATGATCTCGAATAGATATATTTCGTTTCTCCAACTCAATGTCTAAATATAATTTAATTACTTCATGTCACTTTTTTAGATATGACCTAACTTTTTTTTTTTTTTTTAAGTTTGACATGGTTTCAAATTTGCATAAAAACTTGCTTTATATTAAAGTCTTTTAAATCGACAAACAAATTTATTTTTAGGTGATCAATTGACATAAACTTTTATGTAAATGAATGATTTTATGTCAACAAATATATAATTTCAATATATTATCACAAGAATTTAATATGGAAAAATTATTATTATTATTATTATGTTATTTGTATTTAATAGAATGATCTTGTTAGGCATAAAAAAATTTAAATGCTATATAATTGACCATTTTAACAAAATAAGTTTTTCGGGAAAAAAAAAAAGTCACAATGTAACGTAACAAATTGGGCAAATATGACCTAGGGACGACGTGGACTAAACCAGAGACATCTTAACAAATTGCAAACCTATTTCTATTCTCAATTAGTAGCTACAAGTGTTATATATATATATATATATATATATATATATATATAAAACGAACGCGGCTCAACAACGACACACTGAGCC